ACGGAAGAGGAATCAGAACTCTCCATGCTTGCTTTTGCTACCCATTATATGACCTTGAACAAATAATTCTGAAATTCCATGAATACTTGGGGCTGTTGTAGGTAATCCTGTTCTCCTGCCATGAGCAGTCCAGACCTTGTGTTAACAACAGTGCACTTCTCTCTCATTTGACTTCCTCTCTTTCTCACCTCTCTGCTGCATCATCTCTATGGTGATTTTTATTAATTATACCAGATTATTAGACAAAAACAATTAATAGCTTTATCATTTCTTTTTCTCAGGCCTTGAGCAAAGCAAAGAGTGGCATCTGGATAAGCTTAAGCCATAAAGAAACTTAAAGTTGCAGTCTGTCTCCTTTGTCCTCTTCTGTGGTGGGCACATTTGTGTAGCTGTAGGAAGCTGAATTGGAGGAATTTAGCCAGATGTTACCCTTACTTACCCAGTTAGTTACCCTTACTAACTTGTGGTTTTGGCAGCTTTACCTTGGTTTATCTTTTTGATCCTCACCATAAGACTGCACAAAACACATTGTCTAGGAGAGGAACATGCTGAAGGTAGTGAAAGATTATGCTATCTTAGTATTGAGGGAACTAAAGCATGAAGGAACCAGACAGTTTCAGTCCTTTAGATCTCAAAAGACTTAGCAGACTGTCTAGAACCATCTGATGAAAAAGCCATCTTAACAAGGTTGATGATGAAAATACTTGATTCTGGAGCAGTCTGATTTGTTTTGAGTGGATGAAGCAGGTAATCGCTGAGCAGGGATGGTATTGCTGCACTCTACAGCACCTCTCTTAAGATGCTGTTGTAGTATTCCAGGAAGCTGCTTCTCTGCCTCTGCAGGCATGAGAGATGAAACCTGGTGGTAGGTTCTGCTCTTCAGATCTCTCCTACATCTTTCCTGATCAGTCTTTATATGTATCTTTGGGATAGCTGTCTGCTTGTGACCTGTGCTATCTTTACAAGCAGCAGTGTTTTTAAAATATAAGCTACTCAGGATTTCTCCTAATGAAAATATCTCTTCTCCTGGTTTATATCTTCAACATAGAAGGAAGCACTAATTTATTTCATGTGAGTCAACATGTAGTTGCTATATAGCAGTTGCTTTTAATCAAATGCAACTTAGAATGCAATTAAAGCTAAGGATAACCAGGCCTGTAATGCAATTTCACTTCTTCACTGGCTTTCTTGGGAATTGCAAAGGTCTAGGACAATTGTAACCAAAATAACTTGTGTCACAACCCCCGTGAGAATGACCTGTTAGACCTGCTGTACTACTGTGATCCAGATACACCCCTGTTAAGGCTGCATGTACTGAATTGAGAACTGTTGAAAAGGTTAAACTACCTTTTCCATGGTATTAGTTTTGCAAAAATAACTTTTTTTTTTGCTGTAGGATGTCTCACTAAGATACTTGCTGTAGATGCTTCTCTGAGGTCTTCAGTCCTGTATTGCTGGTAACTTGTAAACTCTTTGAGGAGATAGCAGTGAAAATTAGCTACACTGATTGCATAATTTGCTTTTTTTTTTAATGAAAACAGGTCCCACACTATCATCTTGCATTCACACTGGCCTTTTTGTTTTTGAAGTTAAGTGCGTAGATTGTTTTTTAGCCCTTAAATTTTGAATTTTAAGGTGGACTTTTATCCTTAGGGAATCCTCCCTCATTATAAAGATTGCTTGACACTTTTACAGAAAGAGCAAAATAGCTGAAACTTGTCACTAAAGAAAACTGACCCTTTTTAGCACTTCACCAAAAAGTAGGAGGAAATGAAAAAATTGTGTATTATCTGCAGCTACTGTATTCAACACAGAGCGTACTGATTTATTCTCTAAAAAGAGTTGCTTTTGCAGTTTGAAATGCTCTGGTACCTCATTGTAAACTGCCTTCCCCTTGACTCGTGGCAGTGCCAGGCCCTGTTGCTCCACACTTCAAGCTGGTGGTTTCATTCCAGCCATTCTCTGCCTTCAGCCTCTTGCTGCTGCGTTGTCCCCTCCTTGGTCTGCTCAGCTGCTTGTCCAGCCATGTGGTGAACCATATTGAGGAACTGAGCTGGTGAAACTATCCCAGGAGAAAGGAGAGGTGGTTAGTTTCTATCCATGTTGGTTGCCAGATATGATTCTGTGAGCAGCTGCACAAATGCTTATTTATGGTGTAACGAATGAGAAAGGGTGATGCAGTGTTGGAGGTTGGCAGTGTTTGGCTGATGCTAGCTGAGCTGCAACACAGTGGGGTTTTTGTTTTGTGTATTCCAATGTCTCCACTCCAGCACAAAATGATATGAAATGCATAGGAGGTAACACTAGATATTTAAAACTTCCCTCAAAAATAATGGTTGCTTTGTCACAAAACAAAGCTCTTAATGAGGAATTCTAGAACCTATTTCAGTTGTCTTTGGGTATGTCTTTGTAGCTGATAGTCTGCTTTAAGCTAATTATATTTGATCAGGAGACGTTGATTGACTCTGAATGTTGCCTGTGTAGAATCTGGGGAAATTTGAGTATTTCTGTATAATATCACTGAACATAGTGGGTAAACGGGAAGATTTATTATCAGGATTCAAGTCTCTCTATATCATAACTTCACTAAACAGATGGGAGGAGAGTTCTGGCTAAGCTGGAGACTCAAATAGACATTGATTACCTGTGCACATTGAGTTCTTAACTTTGTTGTGGTCTCGTAGCCCCAGATTTAATGATCCTAAACCAACCGGTTTAGGAGAAGAGAGACTTTAACCCCCAGATCCTGAAGGGTGCAAGGAAGTCACAAATCGTGGAGATAAGGATTCACATCTTGTTCAGAGGTGCAGGTTAGGACACTTGTCAGTTTTTGTTTATTTGGTTGATTTTTGTTTTTTTTTTTCCCCTTTTCTAACCTCATTGACCTCATTGTGTACTATGAATGGTAAGAAACTTGTTTGACTTCGCTTGAGAGCTAATCAATGAAACATATTACTTAAAGCAGCTAAACAAATTAGTTTGCAATCCTAAAGAGACCTGGAGAAAATTGCTGTCTTAGAGTGCAGTATGGGTTGTTCTTTGTAAGGGATGAAAGGAAAAAAAAAGATGCCAAAAAAGAAGGGAATGAACATGGTAGTTGATTGATTTCTCTGCTACTGGTGTGAATTAAAAGAGAGATGGCACATAAAATTCTTGAATAATTTTTATAGGTAGCAAAATTCATGTGCAAAGCTGTTTCTTAAAAAGTGTTTCAGTTGCACATAAAAACAGCCACAAAGCTACCCAACCTTGAGAACAGATGTGAAAAAATGTTAAAGGGCCATGTGACTTCTTTCCAGTGAGGCTTAATATTTCTGTTGACATTTTTGATACCAGCTTCTAAGAAAATAAGACCATGTAGTCTCACAGAATATTTTTTGTTGGTTGGGTTTTTTTTTGTTTTTAATTTTGTAGTTTTTGTATATATTAGAGGTACCTTGACATCTCATCTCAGGCTCTGTTTATATTCTAAGTCATAAACAGACTTTGAATGGAATGACTCCATCAGTGATTTTTAGGCTGTCAAACAAAAATTTAATATTGCTCATATCTTTCCATAAAGGAAAAGTAATATATCACTGGAGTGGTGTTAAGTGATATAAAGTGTCACACTGATTCTAAAACAGATTATGGCCTTTCAACTCGTCTTAAAAGGCTTTTAAGACTAGCAACAAACGGGAAAATTGTCTTTTGGTTTCAAAAGCTTTTAAAATGTGCTTTTGGTCAGTCAGTTTTTAAGGTGCATTCAGCCTTTCAAATAAAGACACTTTTGGCAAATAAATGGGATAAGATGAACTCTGAGGTAAAAGTATGCACTAAACCAGTTGTTTGAGGCTTGTGGGTGTATTGTGGTGATCCACAAAGTATGTGGAGCCATTTGTCAGCGTCCCCATGGTAGTGGGTGAGACACTGGTGAGTTGAGAGATTGATTTGGAAAATGACACTGAAGGATTTGGTGAGAACTTTATGTATTTGAAGTGGCAGTTTGCTGAGTGCAGCATTCATGGGAGGCTGTATGAAGTATGGGTCTTCAAAGTTACAATAGAAACAACAGCTAAGCCATGATTTAAGTGTGACAGTCCTGCAAAATTGCTTTGTTAACTAGTTACATTTTAGAAGATGTTAATAATGTAAAATATTTGTCAAAGATTAAGGGTGTGGTGTGCCTTGAAGCTAAGGCCTTAGCCACAGCTATTAAAGCTGTTGGGCACAGAGAGGTGGGGGAGAGAGAGATTGATTTGATCTGATGATTTTCATTCAAGGTGCAGTACTGTAGTAAACCAAGATAATGTTGGGGTTGGATAAAATCACTTAAGCTAAATATTTTAGACCATATCCTGCTGTATTAATTCCAAGGGAAAAGGACTCTCTCATCACAGCAGATGGTAACTGACAGTGAAAATCTCAAATTTCACTGTGCCCTTAATTTCCCCTGAAAATCTTGATATGTTTTCCTGATGTATTTTACCTTTATTTAAGGTTATTAGAGCAGTTTCTAGGATTACTGTGGAATCAGGAAGTTTTGTTCAGCCAGTTCCTTATGCCTCTGGATTAGGTGGTGGATTGTTTGAGCTATTTGTCCATTAATGCTTGTTGAAAATAGCTTTGGCTGGGAAGTGATTCCAGTGCGATGATGCAAAACATCTGGGTGATGCTGCTGCTGTGTTTGAGGTCAATAGTGTCAGATTGCTTGAAACTGCTCAAAGAGTTGGGGTGATTTTGTCATGTGGGATAAAAATGACATACAAGACATGAATAAGAATATATTCTCTTGAATATCAGTGTTGCTTAATCCAAGCTTTTAGGTGCTTTTTTCTTGTCCTGTGGCTTTGCTGAATCCTGGCTGTTTACACTTGCTGTCTGACAGAGAAAATTGAGTGTTTGGTGAGATTTTTTTTTTTATAGCATTACTTTGGCAATCATTAAAATGGTTTGAAAAAAGAGAAAGGGTTAATTTTAAATCTAAGAAAATTATTTGAATTTTTTTCTCTTATTTTTAGCGCCGTCTTCGTCATCTTCGGAATATTGCTGCACGTAACATTGTTAATAAGAATGGTCATCGCCTCTTGGATACATACTTCACTCTTCACTTGTGTGATAATGCCAAGATCTACAAAGGTAAACCAGACTTACTATCAATCTTTTTGCTAGTTAATCTTTGAATTCTTACTATATGAATTCTTACTATATGAATTCTCTTTTCTTCCTTTTTTTTGGTCTTGACAACTTTCTGCCATTAGTTGCATCACCTTTGCTGACACTGGAATAGAGCTCTTTAATTTCATGAAAGCTTTCAGTGTTAGCAGCCAAGGAGGCAAACTGATGACAGGTTCTGTAGCCTTTTAAATCAGCCTGTTTTTGTCATTGTTCTTCCCTGAGTGATGATGTAAGAAATTGGGAACTTCCAAGGGGGCATAAAAGTTAAATCTTTTGGAGCTTTGGTTGCCTTTTGTGAGGAAGAATGTCCCACTCTGTGCATACCAGTTGTTTTACAGAGCATCCATCAGCACATATTGTTACCAAAGTTTTCAAAAAACAGAATTGTCAACCAATGACATGGAGCATCCAGGCATCTGTTCTAGTTTAGATAACTGTGCTTGAACATTGGATTGCCTCTCTTTCTTGCTTTTCTTTCCCACTACAGTATATAGTTCATTGTAGAGAGATGTTATTAAAAATGTTTTCATGCTCCTTTTGGTGTGATTGGAGATGAATTTTGATTTTCTCGTAATTTTTATTTTCATCTGGTGCCGTGACACATCTGGTATCTTGCCTTGCTTTTGTTACCAAGGTTGGTGTTTTAGAAGGATAAGAATACAAAACTTGAGCTTGCTGCCTGGGCTTCGGTGTGGTGGCTGGTTAAACCTATTACTGATGACTGTTTCTTCAGTGTTTGGTGTTAGGGACTCATTTGCACTTCATCAGAGCTTTATCCCTGGTCTCCAGTGGGCTGGGATATTGTACAAAATCTGTATTCCTGCCTCTAGAGCTGTCTAAAGTCTTCAAAGCTCTTTCTTTGACTGGGAAAGCCAAGGTGCATGCACCAGCAGTTGCTTATTCCCATTTAAATACAGGGTTGTTGGCACCTTTGTCAGGTAACTTGGCTGTTTACTCTGAGCATCTGGAACAAGTCACCATTGCTCTTCAGGACAGTGCTGTAATTAATTTATCCAAACTGCTGTGTTCCAGGAAGATGTTGTATGGCAAAAAAGTCATTTTTGCAAATGTCATCCAAATTCTGTTAACTACTTTGCCATGTTCTTTTCTCAGAAATCAAAGCCTTGTAAAACTTGAAGATTATGATGAGTAATGATTAAATACTAAATTTAAATAATGATTTGTAATAAGTAAGTGTGAAGGAGTAATTTTAGTCAAAAGCATGACTGCATTTCAAAGTCTATCTCATAAATCAGTTACTAATAAACTGGACCCACTGACATTTGTCTTTCTTGATTGTTGCTTATTTTGGTTTTTTCTGTTTCACATACTAAGATTTGTATCTAAAGGTGCTTTTTTACTTATTTTTCTTTAGAATTTTATAAGAGCGAGGTGATCAAGAATTCTCTGGTAAGTTACTTTAATGTGGAAAAACTTTGTTTTAAAAATGGTGTATTTAGTGGAGTATATTGATTTCTCTGCTGAATACCATAACTGTTTAATGTGTCTTTCCACTGTTTGGTTCTGTTAGGAGCATTGTGTTCTTCTCCTCCTTTTCAGATTCTTTTCATGAGGATTAGAATAGGGAGCTATTGAGTAGTAGAAATGCTGATTTCTATTAACATCTTTGTGTTGTGTAGGAAAACTGCAAGGAACATGTACCTGCCAGATATATAAACGTACTCTTTGAAGAGCTAATAGCTGTAAGAAACTGAAGTTTGAAAACATGTTAGATTTTCTAAGTTTTTCAGTTTAGATGAATGAAGGGGCCAGAACTAAACAGTTTAATACAAATGAGGAAGGACAATAATAGGATAGGAGTAGGATGTAGCAAATGTTGGCTAAGGGAGTTTGAAAACCTGATAAAGACTTTTTAATGCCTGCATTAAGAAGGTAGAAGTGCTCCATTTATAGCACCCTGGGTAAATGCTTTGAAACCCTCCTGAATTAAGGAAGACCTGTCTGCTTACTCAAGGCTGCTAAGTTCTCCAGTTTTTCTCTTAAGTTGTTAGGATTTTTAGTTCTGTCTATTCTAAATCAGGAAAAGGAAAAACACAAAAGGAAACTAACCACAGGATATAGAAAATAGAATAACAAAAATCTGAATAAAAGATGTCTTGAGGACATCCTGTATATAGCCTATGGGTATTTGAATGACCCAGTATTCTTGTGCCTGAATAGCTATGAAATATTCCTTCTTGTTACGAGAACTTGATTAATGCATTTCTTCTGTAATTCTTAGTAGGTAACTTTGCATCTCTCTTCTTTTCAGAGGCTGAAATTCAAATTGACTCATCCCAGTTCAGGGATGCTAGGCCTTTTCCAAGTTACTTAAGCACTAGAAGGGAAGGCAAGTTCTTTCATGGGGTGGTGGGTTCCTACCTTTTGCTACTGTTTCTGTGTTCAGCAGAGGAAGGAGAGAAATAAATAAAAGCACATTCCCATTTCTGCTTTTGGACACCCTGTTGTCTCTTGGCACCAGTAATGGTGGATTGACTTGGTTTTGTTACAGCTTGGGTCAGTTCTTTAGATGTTGTTAGAGATGAGTGGAAATTCTTGGAACACATCGTCTTTGCAAATCTGAGTTCTGGTGGAATTTGCAGTTTAGCTTAATGTGTGCTGGTTCTGAAAAGCTCCAGGTGCAAGTCTGATCTCGTGGAGTAAAGATGAGCTTTTAGTGACAGCATTTGAGGATTGAGCATCAGTCAAGAGGAGAAGAATGTGAACAAGTATGTCAGCAAGTTCTGCAAATTTAATTATTGGGGAATATATCACCATTTAACTTTGGGAATACATGCTATACTCTGGTTTTCAGAAGCTGAATCATAACTGTGAAAGGAATGTTACTTCCATTTTGAAAGTTCCTGATTTGGTTAAACTGAATTAGTAATTTATGAAGTAAATTCTTTTATGTCTTGTAACGGAAGGAGGAAAAACACTTCCACAGTTTCTGAAGTACTGTACAGCATATGCCTTTTAACTGAGGAATTCTCTCTAGCAAACTGGGTAAGGAAGCAGCAGAGCTTGAAATGGTTGTTCCTAATTCTTAAGATTTTTAAAAATCTTTGAGTTGGGCTTTGCTGCTTTTTGAATTGTCAATTTATGGACTAGTTTCAGCTTGTTTCAACTGTATTTATCCTTCTTTGAATACTTAGAATCCAACATGGAGAAGTCTGGACTTTGGAATAATGCCTGATCATCTTGATACCTCTGTCTCCTGTTTTGTTGTGAGGATCTGGGGTGGCAAGAAGGAACACTTTCAGCTTTTGATTGAATGGAAGGTCAATTTAGATGGGTTAAAGTACTTGGGCCAGCAGGTAATGTGAAAATATTTTTTGCCAGCTTTTTTCTTAAGGAAACAAAGCATCTGGATGAATTAATATATAGAATACTGAGAAAGGAGATTAGTGTGTTTGAAGATTGTATTTTAAAGTTTGATTACAGATATTCATGTTAGTTTACATCAGAGCTTTAAATCATAAAATCATATAGTGGTTGGGATTGGAAGAGACCTCAAATATCCAGTTCCACTTGATACCTCTACACTACCATGGGTGGAGACACCTTCCACTAGACCAGGTTGGTCTAAGCCCCGCTCATCATGGCCCATTTCCAGGCATGGGGTAGTCACATCTTCTGTGGGCAACCTGTGCCAGGACCTCACCACCCTAACAGCCAAGAATTTCTTCCCAATATCACATCTAACCCTGTCCTCTGGCAGTGAGAAGTCATTCCTCCTTGTCCAAAGTTCCTTTCCAGCTCTCTTGGAGCTCCTTGAGCCACTGGCAGGGGCTGTAAGGTCTCCCTAGAGCCTTCTGTTCTCCAGAACAAACTCTTCAGTCTTACCTCTGTTTAGTTTCCATCCATCTTACTTATTTTGTCACCTGGAAATGCAATAATAGGAAAGATGCTCTGTTTAGTATTTCTGATTTCAAAATAGAATGGCTGAACATGGTGACTGTTGCTAAAGCTGTGAAGCAAACAGGTTTTCCATATTAAATTCAGTTTTCTGTGAGCTTTTGTATACTTCTAGAATTATAGGTGATGAAAAACTGCTTTAGACTCTTGGAGCAATTTGTGCTCATTTGGTATGAAAATTTGCAGTAAGCTGGCTGTAAACTGATTTGTCTTCTTCCTTTCCTGCAGATCCATGCAAGAAACCCAAATGAGATTATTTTTGGTCTCAATGATGGTTATTATGGAGCTTCATTTGAACAGAAGGTAAGAGTATCTTGCATTTGTTCTGGTTTGTTGGTACTGATGACAAACTGAAATTCAACCTGTGAGATTAATTTTTCACATTTGGGTGTGCAGAACATTGAAATGCTTTGTTTTGAGAAGGAATAGTTTTTTCACATGACAGGTATGAACTAATATCTTGCCTTGGTTGCATGGATATCTATGATATTTTGAAAAGACTTGAAGTGTAGCATTTAGGGTCCAAAAACCCTCTGGTTACTGAAAATAAGCTTTGACTGTATTCTTTGAGGCAGGCATTTCATTCCAACATAGGACACATTGAAAGTGATGTGGTTGTTAAAACTGATTTTCATGGCAAGCTTTGGTTATCAGTCTGAAGCCTAGACTTTGTAGGTCTTTAATGGGAAGCTATTTGCTCATGGTGCACCTGTTTTACCCCATGGGTTTTTTCCTCATGGATCTACTGTAGTATTTGTGCCTATCCATCCAATATTATCTCTGATTATTGCCTCATTGATGATGTGTGGCCTATGGTTAACACAGTTATGTCAGGAGATGTTAACCTTTACCTCTGAATTTCAACATCTTCTGTATGGAGGCAGACTTGTTGGGGCAGGAAAGACTCTTTAGGCAGAATCCATCTCTTATCTGTTGGAAAGCTGGCTGATTACAGGTACGAGATGGGGCTGCTTTATACACTAGAGTAAGTGCCTTTTTTCCCTGCAATCCATAATCTTTCTGACAGTGCTGCCAGTGGCTTGACCTGCTTAAAATTCACCTTATCATGTAGGGCAACACTTCTAAGTTTGCAACTTTTCTAGGAATCTGTGTGACTGTGGCCTGATATGGAAAAGTTCAATATCTGACGCAGCATGGGGAATTGCTGTTTGTCTGTTAATGTTTTGATACCTTTTGAGCAGAATGGATACTCTGGTCTTTTAAAAGAACAACCTTACATCATTCTTACTTTGTAACCTCCAAAAATTTGTTCAGGTCACTCAAAACAAAGATTATTTTGATTTTTTAATGTGTTACGGCATGGATAAAGGATGGAGCTTTATCTCATGTTTATGTAATTCTCTTGCACACAACTGAGTGGGCTCTCAGGTCTGAAGCTGAAGAATGGCACTGCTGTCAGTAGCACTTTTCAGTGTTTCTGCGCATAAAATTCAGACAGTTATGGATTATAAAATTCAAGAAAACACACTGTATGTCTAGAACATGGATAAACTGATGGGTCTTTTATACCTTTATAGGTAAGTGCTGTTATTGCCACCTTAAACTGTTTCTATCTACCATAGATAAAATATGTGTAAAGACAGATTTAAAATACATTAAGTGCAAGATCATTCATTCTACTAAAAGTGCATGTTCTTACTCAAGATTTTTTTAATTATTATTTTTAAAGTACTATTCCTTCTTTTCCTCAAGGATCACTCAGGTACCCTGAAGAACAGTCTTCTCCAGGTGGATCAGAACTGTGTTCGTAACTCTTACGATGTCTTCTCTTTGCTTAGGTAAGGTTTTTGATAATATTTTGTGCAGCTGTTGTAACTTCTGTAGTGTCTGTGTGGAAGGAATCTTTCCAAATATTTAAAAAACCCCAACATTCTGGTATGGAATGTGCACAGGAAATATCTGGGTTGTGCCAGTATACTCGTGTAGTGCGGAGCTGGGCTGTGCTGTGTGTTCATTGGTGATCGCTGGGCTTCTGACGTGTAGATGCTTGAGTGCTCTGAACTAGGACTGACTGTGGAGCTGGACATGCCTTGTGAATGTCAAAATTATTTCTGTGGAAAGCCTCTACTCTGTTCTCCACCGCAATAAATGTTTTAAAAATACCCGAGAACAGTCAAGACCCAGTTACTCCAACACAGATGTGGTCTAAGAAAGGTACAGTGTTTTTTTGCTTTTGAGTGGCTACTTAAATGTCTGTGGTGATAAAAAACATGAAGTTCTAGTATTAAGTTAAACAAGATATAATTTTCCAGATCTGCTTTAATTATAATAGTTCAAAAATATTAGTTATGAAAAAGTATAATTGTGGTCCAATATTATCAATAAGTTGGTTTAAATGTTATTTTACAAGACAGGTTAATAACTTTGGTTCTGCAGTAAAGGCAGTAAATATGCTACGAAGGAAACCCTTGAATAGGAAATGTTTAATATGCTTTCAAAAGTCTATGTAAACATTTGACTTTTTAAAGCAGTTGTACAAGTTAAATCCATTTGACAGTGTTGACAGTAGGTGTCAGTGTTGCCTATCTCAAGAGAGGAAAAGTCAGCTTAGGTTGCCTATATCGATGTCCTTATTTAAGCTCTCTTAAAATTTCACTGTTCTATTTCTTGATTCTGTAAAGCATATTTAAATTGAAGGCTGCTTTCTAAATGTTTGTTTCCTGTGCTTTTAATGGGAAACAACCAGGGGTCTTATTAGGAAGTTCTGATCACATTCTGGCACAGTACACTAGAAGAGAACTTGTACTATTAACTCTTTGTGTACCCTGATTACTTAATTAATGAGGGTTTTTGTCATTTTGTGTACACATCTATGTAGTATGAGGCACGTTCCAGAAAAAAGACTCACTATGGTAATGAACTTGACTAAGCTGGACCCCTGTCTAGCTCTGTGTAATTGATCTGTAATCCTTCTGAACATGCCTGACTCTTTTTCCTCAAGCTGACAAGAAATTAAGATGTCAGCTGTGACAAAGTTCACATTGTTGAGTGACCTGTGCTGTTTTGAACCCTGACTACTGGAGCTTCACTCTTTTTTGGGGATGTCAGAGTCCAGGCTCAAGTCTCTTACAGCGCTAGGCATGCTGTTGGGTTTAATTTCTATGAAGCTTTGTCTCTGAGCTGAGACATTCTCCTTTTTTATTTTATTTTCCCAGCCTCAGAACCAGGCCTGCTGCTGATTGTATTTTAGTGGAGGCTGCGTACTGTATCAAGGGGTTTACATTGCATTGTTTAGTTCCAGCAGAAGTTAGCTGCTGTAATTTGCAACTCAACATAGGTGTCATCTTTGTCTGATTTCATTGTAGTTAGGAAAGCTCGTCAGGAACTAAAGCAGAGTCCTCTCTGTGGTTTAAAATCCTTTCTATTCCCTTTCATGTTAACTCTGCTTTTTTACAGGTGTGTTTGCTGCTGCTTAGCTTTGATATCAAGCTGAAAAGCATGGTGATGCTATTTGTTTTAAAAGAATGTCTAGTCACTTTTTGACTGGTGTTCTTTTTCTCCTACCAAGCAGTTTGGTTTGCCACCTCCCCCTGGAGTCCATGGTTGAATAACCAGCCAATGAACTCTTCCCAAAGACAGTTTGTATTATGAGATTATGAGTGTGTTCTGATAACTGTTCATTTAAAGAAGAGTGCATATCTCATCACTGAGGAGATATTATTTAAGAATACAAATGTTAGTAGTGTTTCTTTGTGATCTGAAACTGAGATATTCATAAAATCACCTTCTAGTGACCATGGCTAAAACACATTGACATGATATAAAATCAGCTTTTGTTTAGCTCTTCTTATTTTAGGGAAGATGTTTTTAAGACACTGCACTGCCTTTTGAACTTCCCTGAAGTTCCTCTGTTTCCATCTTCATCTCCATGAAAGAAGTGAACCCAACAGAGCTAGGAAGTAGAAAGAGTTGCTTTTTGCTACCCTATTCCTTGTGGCATGCTGATAGATGCATAGAGATAAGGACAGGCAGAAAAGATCTAGTTAAATTTTAGAAGATGCACTGATAATTAAATCTCCTGTTTCTAGCTTTTCTCTTTGCTGTCCTTTACTCAGAGAAGGATCCCAACTAAGCTGTGACCAAAAGCTCTCTAAAAGTTGCAGTTACAGATGTTCACACGGTGGAACAGGCACCATCTTTTTGTAGAATGTGAATGGGTCAGGAAAGGTGATCACTAATAAATAACCTGATACTTTTGCTCTAGCTTTTTCTGAGAGTATCTTGGCAATCACATAGCAGATTTTCGGACTTCAGTGTAGCTAGCTACTGCTGCTGCCATCATCTTCTAGTTGATGCAGAAATACACCACCTTAAGTGTGAAAAAGATCGTACGATTCTTCTTACCTGCTCTTAAATCACCAAGTTCCTCTGCTAAAACATCCCTTTGCTCGTGGTAAGTGTAGGGGGATTTTGTGATGGCCAGGTTTGGTGTTTCTAAACAGGAAAGATTTGCACCTGGAAGACTTGGCACTTTGTAACCAATAGGCAGCCAAGACCAGGCAGGCATCCTCCCTTGGCTTTGGACAGGCAAATCCAGGTGGCCTAAGGCCAAGATTAATAAATAGGAATCAGACCTCTAAAGTGCCTCTGTATGCTTAATTAAGCAGTACTAAAATGGATGAGCAGTTTAACAAGTGTAATCCTTCTTGGCCTGAAAACTTTGTGGGTTGGCATTGAGCTGTGGTGGCTTCCTGAAAAGCAACAATGGAGATGAACACTTGGGTCAGATTTTTTTTCTATTTTCAGAGGTTCATTAAGAATTTTCATTGGTGGTATCAGACTTTTGGACAAGTCTCTTCCCAGGCATCTTACCTCTATGGTGCTGAGCTTTATGGGAACTCAGGCTATTCAGTCATCAGAACACTAAACTTACAAGCCTGTGTTTTGCCAAAATCTGTAGCAGAAAGTAGCATGGGTCATAGCAAGTTGAAACAGTCCATGAAGCATAAGAGCAGTACGTGTTTGTTACCTGCTGTGTTAGTAGCTTGCTGCTGCTCTCATCTTCAATTCTCCTAATATGCCATATGCAATAAGCTACCCCCTGCATCAGCACATTCTTAGTGTTGATATATTGCTAGCTCTTGGTCAAATTTTGTTTCAAAGCACTTTTGAGAGGAATTACACACAGCTGTGCAGTGCTTAAAAGTAGCTTTATTCTGCCTCTTTATTTGTGACAGTGTGAAAAAGATGGTATTAATGAAGCAATACTGAGAAGTCAGACCCCAGTCCTCCTCCTTTCCTGGCTCTATGAAATAGATGAAAATTAGCATGTTGTAGAATTGTACAATAGTTTGGGTTCAGAGGGGCCTTTAAAGATAATCCAGTTCCACCTGCCTACCATGGCAGAGCAGGTTGCTCCAAGTCCCATCCAACTTGTCCTTGAACACTTCCAGGGATGAGGCGCCTACTACCACCTTGAACAGCCTGTGCCAGTGTTTCACCATCATCATTGTAGAAAATGTCTTCCTTATCTTTAATCTAAATAGCAAAGTGTCACCAAAGGAGAATCTAAATAATTTACTGATGGATACCTGAAAGTGTTTAAGATGGAGGATTTTGTGAACATCAGGACTGTTTGTTTTTTTACACCTTTGTCCTGGATTATGGCCATGAGAATGGTGCTGTGAATTGCTTTCTCTCTCAGCCTAGGCAAATTTTGGTGAATGCAATCCTATCTCTAAAATCCTCAGAACTATCCAAGCACACCAGGGAAAGTCAAGGCAAAATTTTGACTGACAACAAATAAAATGGTTTAAAGATCTTGTTGTAGGGAAAATGCTCTAATAAATTTGCTCATTAAAGCATGGCAGAACAGGAAATCCATGGATGTTCAAGAAGCTGAAGAACACTCCTTAAGAGCATTAGACCATCTCTGTTAGGTGGGAGTTTTCACTACTGTAGCTGCAGAATTCTGCTTCCCTTGGAAGAAAACTCAGACTTGAATTTGGGAGAGCTTCCAGGAGGAAAGTGCAGCAGTATGCAGCTTTGAAACATGAGTTACCTGAATACTAGCTAGTGTTCCACCTCCTTCCTCCATTGCATAAGCCTGTTCTCTGCTGTCACAAGCACTTTATCAGTTGTGTAGCCTTGAGTGGAAGAACACAATCAAGTGTAGAGCACCTGGTCTCTTTTGGGTGGAGCCTGGAACACATTCAGTCTAAACTTGTGCATCTTCCTTTTCAGTTTCTAGTGAATCCCAGTCTTAGTCTTGCTCACTGTCTCAGAGAATTGAAACTTCTATGAAGATTTGAAATGGCTGTTAATGAAGTTAAGAAATGGCTGTTGAATTCTGCTGGTGTTACTGTCCACCTGGCAGGAGTCATCTTGACATGTTTATGCACTTTAGAAATTTGATTTGCATCTGATTTAGCTTTTTTACTAAAAACAGTGTCTTGAATATGATTCTGTGTGACCTGTCAGCAATGTTTCTGGAATCACAGACTAAGAAAGAACAAAAAGAAGCTTCCTTTGTAATTTGCCATGTTTGTTTTTTGAAT